AAACCTTGAAAATTCTTCATTCCGTAGTAAGACATTCCCACTGTGGAACTGAATCCAAATATCCTCATTGGCCATTTTACCTTCTAAACATTCCCACTGGCCAAATTCGAAAGAGCAATCCCCAAATCTTGCTTTTTCCCTTATTTGATTTCCTTTAAAACATAAAAGATTTCATTTTTCTTTCTTTTTGACGAAAGATTTCATTTTTCTTCTTCTGTTTATTATTCTCTTTATAAATTGGAACTCTGTTTGCTTCAGTCTTCTAAGATTTCTCCAGTCTGTCTTAGTTCAGTCTTCTGAAAGTTTTTCCATAAAAAAAAGTTTGAACCTTTGCAAGTCTTTCTTCATGGGTTTCTGATTTTCCTACTAAACTAATGATTTTTTTTTTTTGTTTAATTGGTATTGATCAAAAAGTGGGGAGTGACACAAGAAGCAGTATAGTCATTAGTTTCCACTAAGCAAAGCACCCAAATTCACCAATAACAACAACAAAGACCCAACATTTGTCTTGTTCTTTTGTAGTTTTTCCGATCATTTGTAAAACATGAGAAGAGATAGCTTCTCTGTGAGTATTGAGAGTCTTCCTGATTCTTTTTCTCCAATGCGTTCGAGGAAGAAAAAGATCAGTAAGGTGTTCGATAAAATGTCTCAATGGGTTACCCCTTGGAGAAGTAAGCCAGAGTTTCCAAGCGAGAGGAGGATTTTCCGTGGAGATGTCGAACAAGAAGAGTTTCAGTACGCAAGTAGTCACTGTTTGTCATCTTACTACAGTGTCTTTGTTGTTCGCCTCGCGATAATGGTTAGATTCTGTTTGTTTCTTGAAATTTTCCATCAAGTTTAGGTTATGATCCATTTGATGAGAAAGGTGGAACCTTTTTAAAGTTGAGAAGTGGTGTTTGTGTTTATGCAGGTGATGTTAGCAATTCTGATTGGGCTTTTAACCATTCTAACATGGCATTTCACGAGGATTTACACTAAGCAATCGCTTCAGACCTTAGCATATGGACTTCGATACGAGCTTCTTCAGCGTCCAATCTTACGGATGTGGAGCGTTTTAAACACCACATCAGAGCTAACAACAGCTCAGGTCAAGCTATCTGAATATGTCATCAGGAAATATGACAAGCCAACAACTCGAGAAGAACTCGTCGAGG